CTTGTTTTTACTAACATTTTCACCTCTGTCGGGCACTCGTTTATAACTCGCTTCGTTGCGCGCTCGTTTACTTTGTCGTTATTTACCAGCTTTTTTGTATCCTTCTGTTCGCTTTTCATATGCCATACGAGTATGGAGTTAAATATTTGATGGCCTCTTTTTTTTGCTGCCACTTAGATGTCGTTTTCAGCATTTAACTAAGGGAAGTGGAAATAGTAAAAAAATATTCTAGTGGCCTTATAGTTTTTAGTTATTAAAATTTTTTAAATGTTATTCGAAATTTATTTCAAACAAAAAACGTACGTATGGGATATATGTACTTACATAAGCAGCTAAGAAGGCTTTAAAATTATTTATGCTGAGCACGTTCTTGTTCTGTAAATAGACGAGCCCACCGTTAGTTTAGAGACCTACGAAAAACCCCTCCCAACTTAGCCTCTGCCAGTTCCCCATAACATCGTAGGAAACTTCTTTCTCAACAACGTGCGAAACAAAAGGCAATGCAACAGAGTGCAAGATACGATATGACGCAACCCATAGACACGGAGCTCCATAAGAGACCAGTAAAAGATCCCGGGAGTCCAGAAGAGGAGCCGTCAGGATTGTATTCCATAAGCTCCTACTCAGACGCCGTGGTTAGTCTTGGAGCCTCCAGTATATCAGATGTGGCTGTCCTTCCGAGGTTTAGATCGTTCGTTGTCCCAGTTCTGCCTGATGGAGAAAAAGCCCTTTAATTTTTGGTAAAGTTAAACCCTGGAAGGCTTAGGTCTATAAAGCTAACGCACAGCCCGTCTTCTTCTTCTATAACCCTAAGGGTGGAAGGGTGAACCTTGCTGTAAACAGTAGAGCGCCTCTCTGTTGATTACAATGTGTAGGGGAGGCAGCTCAAGACGCACCTCGAGAGCCGCAGTGGATGTTATTATCATTGCGCCAGTGATGCCCATGCAGGCCAGTCGTTTTAGCATACTAAGTTTGGCCTGCGTGGACTTTACTTCCGGCTTCTTCCACCAGACGTGTGCAGCATAAATTAAAATGGGTTTGGAGATCATACATCCACCTTTAGGTCCAGTTCCGTCCCATTAGTTTCCGGCATGTCCAGATACAGGCCCTGTTCGGATTCCTTGAAAGCTTGCAATCTCTCCGCTAGATATTTGATCTCTTTAGAGAAGTGTATCTTTTCTCATTGGAGTAATGGATAAAGCAGTTTCTCTCTTTTCCTTTTCCTGGGGAACATAGTCATCTTGGGGTTTAGGATGACGATTTCATCCGCATTGCCCTGAATGTCGGAAGTCATTTTCACTAAGAAGGCAGAGTGGTTCGTCTACTACGATGGGCCATTCAAGAGGGGATGTCACGCTCCCCTCATAGAGAGGATG